GTGTGTATTCATCCCACATAGCATATTCCCTGTGTCATATAAAAATAAGTATCGAAATGAAAAATATGTATGATCTTTCAAAGAACATGCCAAAGTTTAGAACAGGATCTGAACCATTGATTAACCATGGGTAAAAAGCAGAGAAATAATTGGCTGTGGAATTCTCACCTAGGCCTGTCTGTTCATGCTCACATTTCTTAGATCATATTAATAACAGTTTCTGCTGCTGGAAACAGCAAACACGTATGAGAACAGGCATACGCTGTAAATCAGGACCACAATGCAGCAAGATGTATTTATTGTCAGAGACATTGGTGAACCTCCAAAAGACGGAACGGCAGCAGCTCACATATAATTATGTTAAATCTGAACACGTTGGCAAATGAAACCTGCAGTAGACTCCTGAATTACCAAGGTTGCAAACGAGTCAATTGGTGTGTTGGTAAATAACTGTATGTATTTGAACCGACTGATAATGTGGATGTTATGATTGGTATCTTAGAAAGTTAGAGAGTTATACCTGTATAGTTATACTATACATTAGTCAATTACACTGTTAATACATATTTTATTACATCTGTTGACTGTGTACCTCCTTTTAAAAAAAAAATCTGTGTTTTTATAAGTAAATGTTTCTCAGTAAAATGCTGGCAATTATTTGTGAACAAACAAAGCGGTGGAGGTTAGGGAGCTGCAGAGAGGGGTGAGGTGCTGTTGGAAGATACAATACATGGGCAACTTTTCCATGACTTCACTCGTGTGGTATTAAGAGATCGGGGGTGGTGTTAAGAGGGTAAACGCATTGTCCTGCCTTCTCCTCCTCTCTCATGCCACCCAAACGACAGGCAGTAAGTGCAGAGCAGCGTGGAGACCATGTATGTTGTTATATATGGGTTCCAAATGGCCCCGTGCCAGAACCTCTGCTTTGCATTTCCTCCCTGGGCTAATTTATCACATCCTTTTTTCACCTCAATCTTTTCCAGGGGTGTGAGTTGTGCCCGGTTAGGCCAATGAACAAAACTGTGTAGGCATCCAGTGGGAAACACTGCTGCAAATATTTC